ACAAGCTCAGGAGACTGATAGCCAGTCCGGCATTCAACCGTGGCAAAATATTCACCGATGACCTGGTTGCCCTACACATGAAGAAAAGCACATAAAATTCAACCGCCTGTTTTACGTGGGGATGAGCATCCTCGATTTATCCAAACACCTGATGTACGACTTTTACTACAACAAGCTTAAGAAACAGTAATGACGACAGGTGTGAAGTGCTGTACACTGACACGGATTCCCTGCTGATGGAGATTCGAACGGAGGATGTGTAATGCAGGACATGAAAAAATACCTCGATTTGTAATGCACACCAGTGACTACCCAAGGACCATACCATACACAGCACACAGCACAGTAAATAAAAAGGTCCTAGGTAAGATGAAGGACGAGTGTGCTGGCACGCCCATAGCTGAGTACATAGGTTTGAGGTTCCTAAGATGTACTCCATCCTGAAGGCCGACAATAGTGAGATCCGGAAGGCTAAGGGTGTTAAGAAGTACGTGGTTAAACAACACATCAAACACGCCAGATTCAAGGAAGCCCTGTTCAAGACCCGTACCTTTAGACATAAAATGAACACACTTAGAAGTGATGGGCATAAGATATACGGACTGACTATAAACAAGACGTCCCTGTCACCTATGGACACTAAACGTTGGATAGCTATTGATGGGATAAATACATACGCGTACGGGCATGAGAAAATTGAACCAAGACATGTCACGGAACCAGAGAAAGTTTGAGGCTATTTACTATAGCCCACATGGGTACTGGAAAGGAGCTAGCGCTGTAGATAAGCTGGCTAAAATGGCGCGAGTACCCCCGGAGGAGGCCAAAGCGTGGCTTGAAAAACAAGCCCTATGGCAGATCTATTTACCGGCACCACGCTACGTGCCTAGAAGGAGGTTCGGCATTAACATACCCAATAGCGTTCACCAGGCCGACATCCTATTCCTACCCCACGACAAGAGGTACAAGTATGCCTTAACCGTAGTGAACGTAGCCAGTTGCTACAAGGAAGCCGAACCCTTGACCGCGAAAGATTCTGCCCAGGTAGCCAGAGGATTTGAACGCATATACAAACGCAGCCCGCTGATGTGGCCAACAGAGCTGCAAGTTGACCCCGGGCCGGAGTTCATGGGTGCCGTCTCACACCTGTTAGACAAACACGATACAAAGGTCAGGTGTGGCACGGCTGGAGCCCATCGCAGCCAAGCCATAGTTGAGAGATTCAATAGGACTTTGGCTGAGCGCTTATTCAGGCATCAGTATGCGAGGGAGATGGCCAACCAGGGGAAGCGATCGACTGAATGGGTCGCAAGGTTGCCTAAGGTGGTGTCGGCAATCAACCATGAAGCCACCCGTCTCACCGGCAAGAAGCCGGCAGACGCTATCAAACTAAAATCAATAGTGGCAGAGTCGGCTGCTCCATGACGTGGAAAGGAGAAACAGATACCAGATAGGGCCCTAGTGAGGTATCTATACCAGCCGGGGGAACACGAGGGTGATAGCCGTAAGCGAGCCACTGACCCAATATGGTCAGTCAAAACTTACAACATAGATAAAGTGGACAGGAAAGCCGACGAGCTTAACTTGTACTACTTGAGAGATGGGCCAGGGAGAGGGTTTGTAAGAGCGGAATTATTGATCGTACCATACGGCACAGTGTTACCTCCAGTCAACACGGCATAGCGGCACGTGGAGCGATGATGCAATCCCAGGATATTGACCTTCTTCAGCCATGCCCCCGGTAGCTCAGTCGGTTAAGCGGCGCGGATAACATTGGGCGTTCGCATCCCGCTAGCGTCCCAAACTTTTTTATAGTAGGGGTAATGGTAGCAAGAGCTAAGGGCCCGACCAAAGCCTTATCTGTGAAATAAGGCTTTGCAGAGGCTTTTGTTGAAAGTGATCCAGAACCCCCATTGTATATACTACTCACGGCAAACGGGTTGGTGGACCAAATATACTCTTGGTTCCACAACGGGGAGTTGAAGAGCGCTTAGCGTTACCCAGCACCCACCGCAAGGGGTTGGCTCTTCACGGTTGCCGGCTCAATGAAGAGTGGCAAGGGTAGGAAGTGCATTAGGAAAGGTTGTGAATTTGTGGTCAGTAATTAGTTTATGTTTTCGATATTTATTTTTTAAAATACGCTTTATCACAAAAGAAATAAACATGTAGAAGTACTCTTTGATAATGGCGAATACAAATTAGTTTTTTGTTGTTGTGGTGGTGGGGAGGGGGGAGGGGGAATTAAACAAACAGAATAGATATTTTCATTTAATATCAAACATGATACCTTAACCTGTGAGTCTGGTGCAGACTCGATTATTTACAGACGCCACCATTAAGCTGGAATATTGCTGAGTGTGGTCTTAAGACACACAAATAAAGTTTCTGTTATCCCTCAGTTTACCTTTATGGAGATTGAACAGTGAAGATAGTGTCCACGACCCGCTGTCATTGATCTCTCGTTGAAGTATTTCAATATAGATACATTCTGTGCTGCTTCAACTTCATTTGTGTTCGCTGCTAAACCTTGAGTATTCTATTTCTCTTCCTTTAATAACAGTATCCTATAAAAGCTCCTAAAGTATGTTCAGGGGGGTATTTTGTTGGTAAGCCAACATATGTCACCACTCACATTGTATTCATTTCTTTCCGATTTTAAGTCAGTTTGGCTAATATTTGCTACTGCGATATTTATCAATAATCCGTTGAATTACTATTCTGTAGAACAACTTATCACCGACTGCCAGTAGAAACTGGAAGATTTGAATAAGAACTCCGTTGAATGAACGTCTATGCAGATTTGTGATAGTCATGGCATTCGAGATGAATTCCACAACACTTTCAAAGGCATATATGTAAATGAACAATGGGAAACAAATATGTTACAACTCTAGCAGTTTTATCAAGAGTATTTTTGTGCAAGATAAATATCGACAGTGTCGCGTGTTCCTGATATGTTTTATGATTCTAGAACTTAAGGGCAAAGTCACAGCTTACAGACCATTGCTATATGATGTAGTCTGAAGTGTACTATCGACTCTGATTTTAGCAGAGATGTCTAATGGATGTGGGAAGAGTTTTGTAGCCTATTTTCAGTCAACGGTTAACTACAATACACATGTACATGCATGATATATTTTCTGTATGTCTTTTGACGATAATAGGTCAAATTCATTTATTTTAAAACATTAATTTTAAGCACTAGTGGAGTAAGCGCGAGCATTTGCGAATCATGCAATGTTCATGCATCACTGTCCTTTATCATCATCATGAAAACATTTTACATTTACATAAAGAAAACACATTTACATTGTTTCTGTTGGACAGATATCTTATGACAATTGAATAATTACTGGAGTTGGAACATATTTGTTGGGGATCTACATTTCCCTTTGTTCCTTGAAATATATACCTTTGAAAATGTAGTGGAATTCATCTCAAATGCCATACCTATCACACAGTTTGCACATACGTTCATTCAACTCAGTTCTTATTCCATCTTCCAGTTTCTATTGACAGTCGGTGACAAGATGTCATACAGAATAGTAATTTAAGGGAAAGGGGCAGTGGAATGTTTATTAAATATGTTTCAAGTTCAAGTTTGATTTTTCAAACAATATCATATGCGGAGCATTTGCTAGAATTTGAAATATCCGCACTTCAATATTGCTGGTATGCATCTCAGAGAGTTTTGGAAATATGATTTCAACCAGGACGATGACATAAATCATACGAAATACCTAAGTCCATTGAATTACAATGGAGTCTCTGTATCAAGCTGAACACAATACAAACGATAGTTTCTTACTTTTTTCTGACAAAAACTTCAACCAGAGATTTAACATCTTAACTTAACATCTACAAAATGTGGGTTCTACCAAGTTCACCACATAGCATTGCAAGAAATGTGCTTTTCTTTTCAGTGCGTTTATAATGATCATAGCCCAACATTTCACATTCATACCAGTGTTTTGGTTTTACCATAACGTCAACGAGTTGGGTTTCAAAGACTATGTAAACGTAAGATGAAATACATTGCTCTTGTTGCTTGGTCATACTGAGTTTTCACAGATACAGAAAATATATTATTGCTTTGAAAATACATTCCACGGTATTAATATTCATCCGCACAATCAAAATATTTTTCATTCAAAGTTGATGAATCCGTATTATCAGCACTACACGATACACGCTGCTGTGTCTCACTTACCGACAATTTACCATTCTTGGTGATATTTGTTTTGCCGTTCCTTACCTGCCATCCAAAATGAAAAGGGCGGATATCACGTGATCACTGTGTCAACTGGTCAGATGTCTCCCTAATTGGGCAGTCAATGACATTTGGCATTGAGGTGATGTTTGAGATGATCCAGTCAAATTATAAGGGTTGGCTATCGATATCGATCACAGAGATCTATCATCATTGAATGAATATCGGTCGATTATCGATGAATATCAGAGAAGCAACTTTCAGCAAAACTGACTAAAAATCGGAAAGAAATTAATGTGAGTGGTAACATATTTGGGCTTGGATTACCAACACATTACCGTCCTGAACATAAAAATATACCTAACCTGTATTTTCTGAGTAAATTTAAAAATTATTTCAGCAGAATCATTCGTTTCCGATATTATTGATTACACAATTTTCATATCGATAATCATTAATAATGATTATCATCGATATTTCCGATATCGATCTTTTTTAAACTATGTTCTAACTATCGTGTTGCAAGTGTTAAGAAAAATTGACGGAGTTAAATCTGTGTGCAACTGGATATTTTCAGGGTTTAATGATAGAGACAGAAATGACACTGGGATGGGTTTGTGTCTTGTGTTCATTATTATATACAGTAAGTGATATTTACAGTCAGTTATGTTTTTCAAACGATTTTACTGAAGAACTGTTCAAATGTTTGATTACCTGGACAGATTTTGTGACAGAAAGCATTATTTGATAAAACATAAAATATTGAAGGAGCAAAGAGATGATTTCTGCTTCACACCAGGTCATTCTCCAGCATCACCTGATCCTCCTGTAGAGGCTCAGTTTGTGTCTCTGATGTGTCACGTGGCGGGAGCTTCGTGTAATGGGAGACAACTCCAACAACCAGACAATCACTTGCCACATTTACCGTTGTGCGGAAACGATCCCTGGAAAATAGAATGAAAAGGTTTGTCAACAGCCTTTTTAACAGGATGTGCACATGTATATTCAATGCTCAACGAGGAAATCCAGTGTTTAGGATGTTAATGAGACTAGCCAGAGAATATTAAAGATCAGGTATACAGTATGAACCTTGAACACTTAAATTAAGATTACTTATAATCTCCTGAGAACTATCGAAATTGTGTTAGAGAAAATATATAACTGTTCCTCCTCAACGTATCTTGATATCTTAATGTCAGTTATCGTAAAGAAGACCTGCCACTGTTCACTTCTATAAACATCACTATGTACACTTTTGCAAGTTGACCAAAAGTAAGTATAGGGAGATGGGAAATTCTGTAGTAAAGACAGCTTACATCAACCATTCAACAGTGACCAAGAAAGAGATACCCCGATCCGGGAGTCCAACAGATCTCAGGACAAGCAGCAGCACAGCCAAAGCAGCACCAGGAACGCCGGCAGTTCCAACACTGCTTAGAATAGCTGTTAAACTGGAATACAATATATTATTTTAGATTGTGGTTTGAAAGTTGTATTTTAGGAATGGAAGCAATGTTGTCCAGCGTGTCCTCTGGATCACGATATGAAGTTTTACCATGTTTTAGAGAACGTTAAAACTTTTGGTAAATGTAATGCAATTAACCCTCAAACGTATACCCTTTTTAACATCGTATTCCATACACCATGGACCTCAAAGGACCAGTCATACCATACTTCAGGAAAGTTTACATTCTAGTATTCTTTATATAGTGTGATGCACTTGCACTTTGGCAACATAATCATGGAGCGTCATGAACAAATGGTTGTGTCCAAAGGGTATGTAACACTATGGGTAATTGTTATCTTGATGTGTAATTTGTCATTGTCATACTTAAATCGAAAATGTTTTAGGCTATATCACCGATATTGTATGAGTGGTGAGAGACTGCATAACGTAAGCATATCGTGTCTAGCAATTTCGACTATACATCGGTGGACATGTTTGTGTGTGCTGTGTGTGTTGGATGTGTGTGTCGTGTGTGGTGGGTGTATTGTGTGGTGGATGTGTGTGTCGTGGATGATGGTGTATTGTGCACTGGGTGTATTGTGTTGTGGATGTGTGTGTCGTGTGTGTATTTCGTGGTGGGTGCATGTGTCCGATGTCTAGCAATTTCGACTATACATCGGTGGACATGTTTGTGTGTGCTGTGTGTGTTGGATGTGTGTCGTGTGTGGTGGGTTTATTGTGTAGTGGAAGTATTATTGTGTGGTGAATGTCTGTGTCGTGTGTGTGGTGGATGTGTTTGTCCGATGTGGGTGTATTGTGTAGTGTGTGGATGTGTGTATGTCGTGTCGTGTGTAGTCGATGTGGGTGTATTGTGTGGTGGATGTGTATGTCGTGTGTGGTGGACGTGTATGTCGTGTGTGGTGGACGTGTGTGTTTGTGTGTGAGTGGATGTGTGTGTCGTGTGTGGTGGATGTCGTGTGGTGGATGTGTATGTCGTCGTGTGGTGGACGTGTGTCGTCGTGGATGTGTGGTGGATGTGTGTGTGGTGTGGTGGATGTGTATGTCGTGTGTGGTGGACATGTCGTGTGTGGTGTATGTCGTGTGGTGGATGTGTGTGGTGTGTATCTGTCGTGGTGTGGTGTATGTCGTGTGTGGTGGACGTGTATGTCGTGTGTGGTGGATGTGTATGTCGTGCCCTGGAATCCAAAGATTGATGTCGTGTTGGTGGACCTGTTCGTTTCTTTGTTCGGAACTCTGGATGTGTGTGAAAGAGGTGCTGCTTATTCTGACAGAATGTCCGAACCATAGTGAATCCTTTTGACAACAGTTCTAGTCCTTTGAGGGGGTAGCTGTTGTCAGAATCTACAATCCAGAAAATCATAAAGCCGTCTGGTTTTGCTGCATGTACTGGATGAACGAGCACCGACCACAGAACGGTACAAGCTGCTCGTCTACAGTGAGGGTTTCACCCGGAACATAATGTTTTCTCAGAGCATTTTCAAACTCATCCCAGACATCTCTGTCTCCGCCAATTTGTCTTTTGCGTGTCTGAAACCTCTTGTTTCCTTGTCACCAACCCTCAATTTACTCATCAGAGACTTGAATGTGTTTTGAGACAAGATATCTCTCACAATAGGAACTCCATACTTTTTATCCCATAAGACATTGCTGTCCACCATGTTTTGTTTCAGATGTCCACATTTCAGTAGAATTCCTATGAATGTCAATATTACTGTCTTGTCTGTATCTTTCTCATTCTGTATCGACTGTCCCCTTATCTGCTATTACTTTCTTTCCTTGAATGTCAGTAAGTTTCACAATGGTGTCCACCATGTTTCCTGTAATATATTTTGTATACGTGTTTTCTTCATGGACAACGTTGTCAGCATTGATTACTCTTTGGATTCGACCATGGATGATATGTCGTTGAGGAGTACGACTAGATCCAGGGGGAGTTTTCCTCTGTCTTTTCCAAGATAACACTTGGTCTTCTGAATGAGACGAACGCATTGACTCATCACCAGATGTTTCTGTAGATTCATAATCTGTCGAGTATTCATCGGAAAAGTCCAAAGGAACAAAATCACATTCGGAAGAACTGTCGTCAGAAAGTAAAATATCACTTTCCTCAACGACACTTTCCCCTGATCTCCCCCTTTTGCTCATTGTGAAGTGCTACTGACGCAATTACATCATCTGGCACATGGACCGTTTCACAGTCCGTAGTTAGCAAAAAGCCATTTACCTGGGCCTCCCAAGCCCAAGGTATACCTCAGTGTTACCAAGCAAATCTGTTGTTAAATAATTTTAAAACTTTTTACATCTACTCCCAATAGTTTTTGAAGAATTAAGATTTTGACCTTTTGGAGGAATACATGCAGCGAAATTATCGTGCTTATAATATTAAAGTTTTTGTATACATGAAAACACCAAGGTGGGCCTCAAAGACCCAGGGTATACGTTTGAGGGTTAAAACGTGTTCCAGTCAAACAGGATCAGCAACATACCTTACAATGATCACATTGCCAAATGATAGGCTGATTCCATTGTACTGAGCAATGAACATGGGAGCAATGGCAGCATAGACAGCACCGCCGTCCATGTTGACTGTGGCTCCCACTGGGAGGACGAAGCGGGAAATCCGAGTGTCCACCTTCATCCGCTCCTCGACACACTGCATCGTCACTGGCAGCGTGGCAGCACTGGAAACAAATTTATGAAGTTCATAAGGCTGAGATTTACATTCGATACAGGCGTTGTCGTTTTCTTGACAATGGACTACCTTCACACGAATCTCACTGTATCCTTATACAGATTTGTCTTTCACAACAAAGCTGTCCGGTTGGACATGGGGGATACTGTGGTCATGTACCCGAGACAGCATTCTAGAGGTTCCGAGTAAATCTAAATATTTTCTGCATGCAAATGATGTAAGGTCACTTAAGGCCCACTGTAATGAATACAAAGGAAAATTGAGTACAGGAACATGGCACCACAACACTTGCTGCATACATATTCCTAGTGATACAAACACACTAAACTGATAGTTGAGGCATTCATGCGATTACTCCGAAACCATAACAGAATGGTACCACTAAGTCTTCTCATGGTATACAAATACCAGAATTTACATCAAGGAAAACACGGGCTATAGATCGCCAACAACTGAAGGCAGATCACCATACTAGGATCCATGGGGACTTAAATAATCATTACATTATTTTCGCTACCTGCATGGACCCTAGCTGGATATACACCATCCCTTCAGCCGCTGGAGATTGTAGGATAATACAAAATAAGTGACCCCTCCTGCATGCCATGTACAGATTCAATGCCCCACCCCACCTTCCCATATATTGTGATGTACAAAATTGCTGGAACACACCCAAGAATATCGAACAAAGTGGGTGACCCCTTGAAAAATCATCAACCATGCACCACCCCCTAGCCATAAATTATGAACGGTCCCTACTTAACCATCACCATGTCTTCAGTTTGCATGGATAACATTGATAAATATGCTGGAACAGAATATTTATATATTAATCCGAAAACGTTCGCATGGTGCTTTGATGTCAGAACGTATTATGTATACATCTGATCCTGAGATGACTTTGAAGCTGTGTTGACTCACCACATGACAAGTCTGATCATTCTTAGTGTGACTGCGTTGATGACAGCAAAAAACTCTGTCACCAGTGCTCCGTGACGGCCTAACTGCCCCAGAGTCACACCGAAAACAATGCAGTACATAAGTAAACCTGAAAGAAATATAATCGTAACATAACGCCCAAGACAATAGCTAGCAAAATGCAGCAATTCAGTTCTTCAAAGATTCAGAAGACTAAATAACTCTGAGGTTTTGTTTGGGATGGTAAAGTCTTTGAATAACAATAACATGGCTTAGGTCCCTGCTACACTCATTGTGCAACAGTATAACATCCATGTATTTCGATCAAGCTTTCCATACCGCCTCCTGAGTGGGTACGTAAGTCCCAAACCTTTCAAAGTAAAATGTAAATTTACCATATTTTAAACGTAGTATATTTGTTCTTTTAACTGCAGGCTAAGTTTTCCTTCAATCGCCAGCGGCTGAAGGTATGGTGTAAATCCAGCTAGGGTCCATGCAGGTAGCAAAATTAATGTAAGTCCCCATGGTTCCTAGTATGGTGATCTACCTTCAGTTGTTGGCGATCTATAGCCCGTCTTTTATACTGTATTGTCTTCTTTAATTGGAATGTTTTAGCTTTGCTCGCTAGTTTTATATTCATAGCTGTGATTCTCTGGTATTTTTACTGTCCATCGTCGACAGGTTTTAATCTTCAAAGCATTTTTACTTTTTATTGTATAAGTTGTTTTCGTCACGATATGGCTGAGATATTGCCGATGTGACGTTAAATATTTACTCACTCACTCACTTTCCATACCGACGGTGTGATGAGAATATGACATACTGCAGAACACAATATCGAGGTTTTGAATTATATATGTTTCAAATAAGATTTTCCAATACATAGGTTTTGAAATACTCTTTGTAAACTTAGATCTTGATATGAATTATGTATGTTTCAAATAGTTATCAAAGTTTCGTTTCGTAGAGGTAAATGGAAGAGACAATAGTGGCACACAGTGTTTCATGATATTCGTCATTATGCACTTGTACTAGACTAACGCTTAGTCTCTGAATATATAATTTTGACAGTAACAGATAAACCCATGGAAAAGGAGCCCAAGTGAGATGGGAGATCCTGAACCAGAGTAAAACTAAATTTGCTTCATTTAGGGCTTTAGAACAGAACAGAACAGAATTTTATTTCAGTAACAGGCCTCCGGCCCAAAATACATATTCATAAATTGATGAATAATTAGAGCACATATAATGTATTTCATTTAAATTTGTGTTTCTTGTCAACAAAGTATAAAAATAGACATACATCCTTGATGATATTAACATTTTTACTCTGTAATATAGATATAAAATTAATAATTGATGGACATTTACTAAAATATTTTGATATGTACTTATTTCTGATATGAGAATATGCATCACAGATATAAAACACATGCCATTCATCTTCAACAATGAAGACACCATTTAATTTGCAAAACAGGCAATGCCTTTACCTGAGTAAAGGGCTTCATTTAGGGCTTTAGCACTGTAGGGAGGGCTAGGTATACGTAGTAGGGGAAATAATGTGGTTCAGTGACTGTGAGACAGACTAGCACTTATACACGAAATACGTTCCAAGATTGGATATTTGACTCGTCATACATATGCATATTGTTTGAGTTTTAGTATACCTAAGATATTTGCACCATCAACGACCCGCGTTTGCCTTGTCGAAGCTGGCTGGTTTATCATGTTGACTTGTGTAGAATTTCCAGTATTATTCCCGAATTCGGAACTTGAACTGCCACCCTCCTCTGTCCTTGTCTCAGTGCTTGTGTGTTGCATTGTGGCAGCCATTATATTGTCTGGCACTATGTTTCTATAGAACAATAATATCAGTGAACGAAGGTACAAATTGATCTCAAACTGTAGAATAATGAAATAATGATGTCAAAAGCCAAACTAAGAACCTCCAACACATATTTGAGATATATAACGTCAGTGCCAGAGAATAACGTGAGTAACGTAATAAAAGCCTAGAGTAATACATTATGTATTTGGAATAAATATGTTCTTTCTTTTCACGAAGTAACACTGCAAAGATATGTGTATACATGTCTGAAATAACACACATAGCTTTGTTAGTACATATAGTGTCATTATATCATTTCCACGTTAATGCCTTACATCGCCTTCATGAACAGAGTTAGCACCCCAAGTTGCGTTAATCATTTAGTCGATTGTCTGGTACAGACTCCAAAATCTAAACAGTATGCCTTACCTTAATATGTCCAAGAACATATCCACTGTTGATGTTATGGCGGTGTTGTGTGATACATCACTTGTTGACGAGCCTGAATATGCTCCTGGTTTGATTGTCAGGACTAATGTCAAGCCTACCAGTGTTGCAGCAACAGAGGTACTTGCATAGTAAACCATAGACAATGCACCTATCTTTCCGGCAGATGATCCTTTCATATTCCCAAGACCTTTTAGACAACAGGTATTAGCTTCATATTATAAAGTACCAATCTGATATATAATAATCACAAAAGAAATGCAAGTCAAGTTCATAAAATGGAACAAAAACCAATGTGCACGTTTCACATGCAGTGAAAATTAAAGAAGCGAGCTTTTCCTTTTTGTTTTCCTTTAAAAGCAATCATATTAAATAGACACAGAAAGCTGCAAGCCTTCAAGATTCAAGTCTATATATATAGAGAAAGTGATGAGAATACCGAGCGTGTAGTATATATATATATAGTTTCTGAAATAATCACACACGACACGGATCTTCTCCAACACTTCTCCCTGAAGATAAAAGTGAAACATGTTGGAGAACTTCCGTGTCGTGTGATTATTTCAGAAACTTCTTCTGATATATATATACCAGTCACACGACATGGCAAGTTCATATCACATAAATCAGTTCCAGTCTTACTGCTTATAGATCACATTCTAGCAAAGCGACGTTTCAAACAAGTTCTGAGTTTATTAAACGTGTGACGGTTACTAAAGGTTCCAGCAAGGAAATATGACCAAGACTTACATATCGTATTGATGGACAAACAAATTATAACTCTGGTTTGCCTTCATGTGAGCACATTTTGACAAAGGTGGTTGCTTGTAAAGGAAAGGAAAGGTCGCTTCTTTAATTTTCACTGCAAGTCCAGAATTCAACCCACAGTGCAAAGCAAGGCTTGTGCAGAAACCTTGAAAAGAGTTAAGGAACACTTGTACTTTCATTAGTTCCCTTATTCGTTCCCATGAGTATATCTTACAAGATGTGGAAAGGGTGTGTCGTTTCTATTAAATTAAAACGTGGTTAAACATTTTCACACATTTCAGTTTGACTTTTCCTCTTCCAAGGGCAAGGGCAAGAGTAAGTAAGTGAGTGAGTTGTCAATGCTTTCAATACTCATGCAAATGTACCAGTGTGCGTTTATACATGCGGGAGTAATGCCTTTAGAATGCCTTTCGTTTTCCTTTTCCCATCTTTTGGCAATCGTGAGGACAAGCAAGTGATATACAATCATTTGCGAATAAGGTACTGGAGCCCACCATCGTCGAGATCCAGCATGCATAACTCTGAGACATTGAAACGAGGGTAAAGTAGATACGATCGCTTTCAATATCAGGCAGGGTTTAAGTCTCAATCCATATAATCGTAGCAGTTGTCATAGCTACATCAGTATAAGTGTAATGTGAGAATTGTAATATAACGTAAGATAATGAGAACAAAAAATATACTGTGACAGCTGAGATGTCATTAATTTTATATTTTTACAGCAACAAATAGACAAAGACATGTTTTGTATGGTTTATGGTACAACTTTAATAACCAAATTTGTGCAACAAGAAGGTGGTAACTTTACCTGTAATGATACTGGCGACTATCAGTGGCAGCATCAGTAACTTCAGCATACGAAGGAAAAGCTCTCCGGGAAACTGCACCAAGTGAATAGCCTCAGAGGACGGCTTGAGAGACCGACACAAAATCCCGGCAACAATTCCCAGTACCACGGCGAGAATTGTAGAGACGAGGAGGATGCTGTGTCGGAGAAACTTAAGGAACTTCATCTGCATTAGAATAGTACAGTTATTGTACACAGATTGATCTGGACACACATTATTATTTCTGGTAATTATGCCTGTTGCGTTTTAAAAGTTAAACCGAAAAAATAGATGCACGGAAACAGTTACGAAAATGTTTGTTTTGAGGGTTTGAACAAAACAAAATATTGAAGAGTACATATCTTCAACTGAGGCTGTCTTTGAATTTAAGATTAATTTGCACAGTGTACTTACCCTTGGTTTTGCCACAATGCCAAAACTTCATCGTTCCATACACATTTGTAGAGTCAGCAGAGTGTCCACAACGTATGAATTATGAGAGGAAATATATCTACACAAACGATTTGTTTTCACATCATGAACTCTTTCTGGTCACAGATATTTAGGTTTGTGTTTTCACTGGAAACGTTTAAAGGTGTAAGCGGGGATTCAATGGAGTTTAACATATTAACAATAATTTATCATATTTACTTAACAAGAGACTTTGTGAATATGTTTTTATTGTCCTTATTGTCATGTTTTATGCCACTTTTCTGTGATCCATTCTTGCTATTTTGTCATTATGCACACACAAGATTATATATAAATGAGACATAACAAACTTTTGCCCCGGACAATTTCTGTATGTTTAGGCGATCTACGCTATTAATGAACACAAATTAGTGGTCCTTTTCAGTTCGTAATAATCTGTTTCTTCCCATAATCGAGACAGCTTACCGACAAAAAATATATTGGCGTAGCTCAACTCATGTTTTTGTTCTTTCATAATATGTGAGTGAGTGAGTTTAGTTTTGCGCTGCACTCAGCAATATTCTAGCTATATGGTGGCGGTCTGTAAATAATCGAGTCTGGACCTGACAATCCAGTGATCAACAGCATGAGCATCGATCTGCGCAATTGGGAACCGATGACATCTGTCAACCAAGTCAGCGAGCCTGACCACCCGATCGCGTTAGTCGCCTCTTACGACAAGCATAGTCGCCTTTTGTGGCAAGCATGGGTTGCTGAAGACCTATTCTACCCCGGATCTTCACGGGTCTGTCATAATATGTATCGACTTCAGCATTGATACGTAAATATCCCATAAACAGTCAGCTATGCGTGCACGGTTTCGTTGTGTCGCTTGTAGGAATGTGTTGTGATGGGCTCCTGATTTTGAGATTTCACAGATGTGGTGTGCCTTTAATGATCTGTCACAGGTTCAGTTTCTTCGTTGCAGAGGGTAATTAACATTTTATGAGCATGCTACATCATATGACCACAAGGAAACAGACAGTCACGTGATGACACATATACAGACCCAAAGCACAGATACTCACCAAGTTCACTCACGAACGATTTATATGAAAGAATAAATCATACCGTTCATCACTGAGAGCAATGTAATTTTAACATAAATCGACAGGGTGGATACACTGCACGCTTGTGACCTCGTTCATGTTGTGTGGCACTGTGCCTCGATGGCTTCAGCCATTTACTAAACTCACTGACTCACTCATGCAGTCGGCACTCGTGAAGAACAACCTCCTCGTGGTGAGTACTGGGTTACGCAAACAGCTCTTCCCCCGCAAGGACCCAGGGTAGAATGTGTCCACAGTACTCCATTGCTGGTCGTAAGAGGCGACCGAATGTTTGCAATGGGTTGCGCCCATGTGTCGGTGAAGGAAGGGATTCTGGTGGTTGAGGGCATAGGACCCAGAAACCGTGTTCCTATTGCCCAACACTCCACTTTGACATCAACTTCACCAAGGCGGGTGGCAGAATTGGCCCGGTTCTGTTAATCGGCTGTCATGCCATGCCATGTGCCATGCTCATGGCAATTCTTGTACATTATTGTGCATTTCTGAATCATTAATGAATATTTGTATTTCATATTATACTATATATGTTTGCCAGGAGTCCTATGCAAGAAGACGGTGGTGAAGACAGCCAGGTGTGCGACTTGTACGTGTGAAATTAAAATTTCACTGCACGCGCTTGTTGATTACCTGGCTGTTCTACTAGCAGGTGGTCCTCCCTCGTAAGAGATAGCGAAAAATAATGATCGTTTGTTAAACATCTTTTTATTCGGGTGTCCAACATTATGAGACAAATCATCAGAGAGTTGATGTGTCAATTTCATGTGACTGTGCAAAATTTGGTTTGGTTGTAATTATTAGATTTTGTGTTTGTGTTCATCGGTCAGAAATGAAGTCAAACGGACTATAACTGTATTTTAATTCTTCTTCGTGAGGATCTGTATAACAAGAAGTCCTCTCTTATTCCGCCTCCAGGAATAAGAGTAAAACCTTTCCTTTCTGCTGCTGGCATTGAGTTCTTCTCCTCCTTTGCTATTAGTGAGGCCACAGATTGACCAAACACTGACAACGTTTAAACAATCCGAAACTAGTGAATTACAATATGAACAAACATTTAATCAATTAAAAAGTAAATATGATATATACAAATCCTTATTTACAGATGGATCCAAGGATGATTGCGCTTGTGCCAGTGTCATTGGATCCAGAACAATATATTCTAGATTACAAGGCGATAGCTCTATTGTCACAGCCGAGGCAGATGCCATGTCAACAGCGCTTAAATATATTTTTTAAAACTAAATATAAACAATATATCATTTATTCAGACTCGCTCTCGTGCCATCAGGCTATTAAAATATCTCTTATAAACATCCACGTTTAATTGAAATAATTGAATTGTATAATGATCTTGCTACTGCCCAATACGACATCGTCATCTGTTGGTTAGCCAGCCATGCTGGTATTTCAGGCAACACGATCGCTGATTTTGCTCCTATGGCAGCACTCAACAAGTTAAACTTACCAGATTTTTTAAACGTAGTATTTTTTGTAATTTTGATTTATGGCTATATTTGACTACAATCGTCAGTTAAAGGATGATATAAATCTAGTACTGTAAGTCCCAATGGTCCTTAGCATAGTGATCTTTCTTCAGTTGCTGGTGATGTCCAGCCCGTTTATGTATTGTGTTGTCCATAATGGAGGTTTAATTTTAAAGTTCCATGCTACTTCTAATTCTCTATCTATGATAATGTAGTAATTTTACTGTTCTTTGTCGACAAATTTTATAATGTAACTTTAACTTATAAGTAAATGAATTGTTTTAGTCACGATATGGCTGAACTGTTGCTGGTGTGACTATAATTTTAACTCACTCACTCATTACTCATGCGAGGTTATAGTCGCTTCAATATCCAGACAGGAAGATTGGCCCTCAGCTGGCCCTCTGATTTTCGCCGTAAGAAGACGCAAGACTTAATGCGTGGGTAAGGTTAAATGTGTCCAAAGTCGGATTTAGTTTTCAAAAAAGCTGTTTTAACTATTTGAAAATTTGTAAATTCATGACAAATGAAATTCGCCCATTTCAACCTGAGGAAGATACTCAATCATGTTAGCACTGAAGAAGGAAGTAAATGATGCATTTCCAGTGGCCCCAAAACGATACATTTCTCTGTTTGGTAGATGGGTTGTTGTTAGAAATAGGGATACAATATATGGATACCGATTTTGCATTGATATGAAGTTGGACATTAATCCGATATTTACTGTCATGAATTAAATTGATTTTCTTTAAAATGCTGCCATGGTACATGTTAATTGAAGTAAATGCACTTGTGAACATAAAATCCATGCAAAACAACCTTGCGTCATATTCCATCTAATTTATTAATATATGCCGAAAAAGTTTTCACATATTGTTGTTACTGAAAAACAAAACTGACTTTTAAACACAAAGTAGGCGGAAGTCTCATCTTTGTAAATGGAATAATTTGGAAAATGGAAACTGTTTTTGTGACAGCAGGCAATGCATGATTAAACATAACTTAATGAAGTGTAACTGTCAAAAATCCAAAGCAGTTACATGCATTTGAAAATTACAAAATACAATCTGTCAAGTATGGTAGGAAACTTGATGGTTGGACTTCACACCAGGTCATGCTCCAGCATCTCCCGTTCCTCCCGCAGGGGTTCACTTTGTGTCTCCGATGTGTCACGTGGCGGGAGCTTCGTGTAATGGGAGACAACTCCTACGACCAGACAATCGCTAACCACATTTACCATTGTGCGAAAACGGTCTCTGGAAAGAGAGAATGTAGGATTGTAGTCGATAGTATTTCAGCTTTGTAAACGAAGTCTTTGAGTGTTGAGTTGGTAAGTCTGTAAGGAGCATCACAATAACATTTGAAATATGTAATCAATGCAATCCTTAAACATAACACACAACCTCTGAGAACTATCGACAAAACTACTCAGTTTCAAAATCAAAGTATTAACTGTTTTGCTTCACGTTATACCATATCAAACATACACTGCAGGAAAATATATAAAACCACCGGTAGGAACCAGTACCCTTTCACCCTCTATTCACTTCACTTTGAGACCGCCTCCGTGGTGTAGTGGTTAGAGCGTCCGCCCGGAGAGCGGAAGGTCGTGGGTTCGATCCCCGACCGCGTCATACCAAAAGACGTTAAAATATGGTACTTGTTGGTCCCTGCCTTGCGCCCGGCATTAATGGGTACAACAAGGACTGGTCGGCTCGGAGTCAGTATAATGTGTCTGAGTGGGGTATTCATGCTTCACTGCGGCATGGTATCTCAGTGGGCTAGCACTATAAACCCAGCTTCAGACTGTTCTAGTACAAGCAGCCGCACTTACACATACACACGCATGCACGTCGTCATATGAACGAAATATTCTCAAGCACGACGTTAAACCCTATTTCACCTCACCTCACTTCACTTTGTACATTTTTATAAAGACCAGTTGAAATTTTGGCAGCCAGAAGACTTAATGGCGAAAGCTTACATCAACCAGTCAACGGTGACCAAGTAAGCGATGCCCCGATCTGGAAGTCCGACAGATCTTAGGACAAGCAGCAGAACAGCAAAACCAGCACCAGGAACAGCAGCGGCTCCAACACTGCTCAAAATAGCGGTTAAACTGGAATAGATATGGTTAAATATACGAGTTGCGTTTTTTTATTTGGGAGTTATAGGTCTAGTGATGTGGCATACGGATGTTTTATGAAGAACAAAATCGGTAACAGGTACAACAGCTTGAACACTGGCAGGAGCAGCTGTTAAACTGGATAAGATGGTGCTAGTTTTAGCTTGTGATTTTGAGCTTTCGTGGCAGTGTTCCTTAGCGTGCTATATGGCTGCTTTTTTATAGATTAGCGCCATGATATCTAAATGACTTTTGGTAAATAAGATACAATTAAAACTTTTGAAGTCTTCCATGGCCATCAACATACCCTACAATGATGACATCTCCAAATGATAGGCTGATTCCATTGTACTGGGCTATGAACATCGGAGCAATGGCAGCAAACACAGCACCGCCGTCCATGTTGACTGTGGCCCCCACTGGGAGGATGAAACGGGAAATCCGTGTGTCCATCTTCATCCGCTGCTCCACACACTGCATCGTCACTGGCAGCGTGGCAGCACTGGAAACACAGTTATTATGATCACCACATCTGGAACTCGCATTCAAAACAAATTTTGTCTTTTTCAGGACACGGTCTTCCGCTAGGACACGGTTTGGATCGAATCAAACTGCATCGGGCTGTGTAGCGGCACTGGATAAAAGGTTACCATGCACATGAGACTCAGACGTCCGATACCGATATTGCAGGGGATGCTTAGCCTTTTCCATTTAACGATGGAAATTAACACAAAATAGCACCACAATGTATGTCATATACATATTCATCGTGATAAACAAACCTCGACACGATCACAGTGCGATAATATTACTTCAAGACTGAAAAATGAACTGATGTCAAGTCTACAGAATATAAGTTCAGTTGCAACCTCTACTGACATGGGAGGGTACCATTTAATGCTTATGCAAATGCAAATGCTACTTACATTCGATATAGTATGTTTCATACAGATTGAGTTAACCTTGTTTCCCTAACTGACGATGGCGAATCCACTGTCTTCTAAGTTGACTTTAGTCTAACCTTGACCAACCACAAAGTCACATCTAGTGAAAGGTTTGTGCACAGTGTGGTGACACAGTTTTTGAGAAATGATCTTTGTACTGCTTGAATTTGACCGCTGATATTCTCGGGGTATGTCCTCTCGACAACTTATCCTCTTATGTTCATAGCCGTTAAGCCGTTAGCCGTTAAGCCATGTGAACCATATCGAGAGTCAGTGTCTGTGTTGGCAGTACAAGTCTGATAAAATCATTTCAACATTTTGCTGAAAGGTTCAGTGAGTTAAGGAGAAACTGAGGAAGTATATACCTGGAGCTTGTTGCAAAGGCTGTCAGTAGAGCTTGTATTGCCTTGAGGTATATTGTATATGGGTTCTTTCTGGTCAGGATGAAATACAAGAATGGAAGGACCACCAATGAATGGATTGCCAATCCGGCCATTTCAGTTGCAATGTAGATAGCCAGTGTTTGCCCAGTCTCCGTCATGTCACTTGTGGACATTATCTGGCCAGTGATGAGAAACAGGATGCCAAGTGGTGAATACCTGGAACACATCAAGGTTGCTTGTATTACTGCCTTGTACAACAATATTTATTGCTGACACATTGGCAATTCCGATCATCATCGAACTAATGATAAACTATGACCGAATAAATCTCTGCCTTAAAATCGCTACCCACATTCAAAGAACAAAGGGCTTGGAACTTCGAGTGATCTGACGTCACGTCCTGAAGTTCAAGCTGGCTTTAGAAAGAATTATTCTACCTCAGGTCTACACTTACACTTTATGCACTAATCAAAAAGACATTATAGAGATGAAAGCATTCTTCTATGTTTAATAGAAGTTTTGATGTTATTTTAGCAGACAATGTTATGTTAGCGTCAGATTGTTTTGTTGGTTAACAGACAACTTAATATTCTAAATACATGTACAGAAAATGGCCATTAACTAAAATTCAGATCTTTAGGAAAGATGCACTTGCTCCAATAGCGCTGAAAGAAAGACGGTTATTTGACGGCCAGTTTGTCCATGTAGTACATCATTATACACATTTAAGAATCTGATTCTCACACACAATAAACTTGGAAAAATGTAACCAAGATGTTTCATTACGTGCCAAGAAAGCGTCAGTAAGAGTAATGTCTATTGTCCTCAAACTTGGAACTATGCCGCCTAATATAATTTTCTTTCAGGTCTTTGATTCTGGTGGGGTAGCCCAGTGGTTAAAGCGTTCGCCGAAGTCTCGGGTTCGATTCCCCACATGGGTACAATGTGTGATGCCCATTTCTGGGGACCCCTGCTGTAATATTGCTTGAATATTGACAAGAGCGGTGTAAAACAATACTCACATTTTATGATATGGCTCGGAGGTGTGGAATAGTTAACGTTATGACTCGTTGGAGAAGGTTCAAATGTTAGCATCTAAGAAATGAACTGTTTAAACAATGTGTACTTTCCCGTGCGTAACAGTTATGATGTATATTTACTATATCGCTAGTTGGATACGTTTAAGACAGACAGACATATATTTTCGGTAATTTAGGCCCTAGGCCCATAATACCTATATTTTGCAGTATAGATAGAGTATAGAAATATATATGCTGAGTAAAGTTATAGTTTAGTATTAATCAGTGTTAGTTTAGTATTAATCAGTGTTACATTTTCTCATTCCTTATACGGCGAACTTGTGAAAGAAATGATTTTCAGATATGGATATTGTCCGATGACATGAGTTGGGTGAAGGTTTGCGTTGTCGGTGGTTGAGTCCGATGATTTGGTAAACAGTCAGTTTTTTTGTTGGGAATGGTTAATAAAATATGAATTTCATCTTCGATGTCATCAAGGCCAGCAGTATGACAAAAGAGGCAGAGGCGTTCATTATAACGGGATGTTTGTATGGCGGCGACATTCCACTGCGAGTCTAAAGTTACAGCGCCGAAACGGAGTTATGATTTTACGTTGATTTGGTAGCAGTTCACTGGTTAATTTGGTTCGACGCTGAAAAATGATTTAAATTGTTAATAGTAGTCACATTTGGATGACGAAACAAGTGATGCATGCCAGGTTGAGTGAAGCAGTCATAAAATCTCTGTTTAGACATTTCCATGAATGTAGAAACACAGCTGATGTCATGAGATACTTCTGGACCTCCTTTCACAAAGCACTAAGGTGATCGTAAGTCACTAAGGTGATCGTAAGTCACTAAGGTAACCTTAGTGCAATGTTAAAGAAAGGGAGTTACGGTTAACCTTACTAAAGGTAGCTTCGTGAAAGGAGCCCCTGGTGTCCCCCGCCGTGGTATTGCTAAAAGCGGTGTAAAACAATACTCAGATACAACCAATTTTATGATATGGCGCGGAAGTGTGGGGATATTCAATGTTGTGACTCTTTGGAGAAGATTCAAATATTAGCATCAAGAAATGAGCTGTTTAAACATTGTGTATGTAACATGTGTGTCAGTTATGATTATATTTATATGTCTAACACTCTTGTGTATGTACAATCAACCTATTTGACTCTTGACTGGCCACGTCTAATTTGGTTTTGTAATGTTGATGTTACACATGGTGAAAATATAATATTAAAAAAATATCCTATAACGTTTCAATGATACATATGTGCGTAAAGAAAACTTTATGCATATACTATTAATGTTCATATAAAAGTCGAAGTCATGTCTATTCATTACTTAGCTAGTTGGATACTTTTAAGGGTGATGATATGATGGTGACGTTGGTCACTATCTTTGTGAAGTTTGTATAATATTACATATCCTGAGACCAATTTAAAAATATGCTGGTACTGCTTTTTTTCACATAAATCGAAAATGATTTAAATGATACTAACGTAAGAAGAAAACACTGGGTGTGCACATGATGTTGAGATGACAATTGAATTTGTGTCTGCTCACCACATCACCAGTTTGATCATGTTTTGGGTGACAGTGTTGATGACCATGAAGAACTCTATCACCACGGCTCCACGACGACCAAGATGGCTGAGAGTCACCCCGAAAACAATGCAGTACATCAGTACACCTAGAAGTGTAATTTGGGGGAATTACAGACAATCACACAACATACCCATGACATCAGCTGACAAACAAACAGTTAATGATTTAAGAACTGCGAGGTTTTCAAATCTATATGGCACCTAAAATCCAAATGTTGCTCAAAGGCACAGGTCATAGGCTCTTTGGGTGAGTGAGTTCAATTTTACGCTGCTTTTAGCAATAGTCCAGCAATATCACGGCGGGGGACACCAGAAATGGGCTTCACACATAGTACCCATGTGGGGAATCGAACCCGGGTCTTCGGCGTGACGAGCGAACGCTTTAACCACTAGGCTACCCCACCGCCCTCATAGGCTCTTTGGAATAGTAGGGTCTTCACTTCATGCTGGAATGCTTAAAGGTCAGTGATTTGCTGATTTGGAATGGTTAGAACTGTGAAACTTGTATTTGTTCATGACATTTGAATGCGAACTGGAGAAGGAGACACTTGGCATGTCAGGTACCAAGAAGGACATCTAGATAGCGCTCACGCTTTGGTATCCCTCACACAGTCATGTCTGTGCTGAATACACCAATTACCATGAGGACTGCTTTGTTCACATGCATGTTGCTTGAGCACTAAAGATACCTAAGATATTTGCACCATCAACCAGTCGTGTTTGTTGTTGACGATGGCTCATTCACCATGTTGACTTCTGTAGAATTTCCAGTATTATTCATGGAATCAGAACTGGAGCTGCCACCATCCTCTGTCCTAGTCTCAGTTCTTGAATGTTGGACTGTTGCAGCAACTATGTTGTCTGGCACTATGTTTCTGAAACGGTATATGAATGAATGAGGTTACGAAGTTTAAGATAATTTCGTCATGTAAGATACACAGCCAAAACCTTCAGTACATAATCAGAAATATAACGTAAACCCAAGAAAACAACCAGTCTTGATTATCAGACGAAATCGATTCCAATGAGCCAAAATGTCATAGATGCAAATCTGCATCAGTATAACAAGTCACCAGTGCAAGTCTTGCCAATATCTGAAGTTGAGCGACAAAAACACATGGAAGGGTCGAAACGAAGGGTAGATATTATCGAATATGTCATGAGAGATCCCTGATTGGATAAGTCAAAAACACAACTAACTTAATATAATTAAAATTTGTGGACGTAAACGTCACAAATAATACCATTTAAAACAATTACAGTCACAATTCTGTAGCATTATGCTTGTAATTGACGGAAATAGGCGCATTAGGGTAACCGAAACGAAGAGTAGATTAATTCATACAACATGCACTAAACTACAAAAAACGTTCATATTCCGACGGATGCTAATGCTGTCACTTGAGTGTCTGGTCCAGATACATACAGACTACTGTCTCATAAGTTGGATATTTTTAGTGTGGCGTTAAACAACAAATTAACAAAGAGCAATTTACCTCAACAAATCCAGAAAGATATCCGTTGCTGACGTCATGACATTATTTTGTGATATATCGGTTGTTGACGAGTCTGAATATGCTCCAGGTTTGATGGTCAGGACTAGTGCCAAGCCAAGCAGTGTTGCAGCCAAGGATGTACTTGCATAATAAACCAACGATAGGACTCCTATCCTTCCGGCAGATGCTCCTTTCATATTCCCCAGACCTTTCAGACAACATTTATTAGTTTCACGTGAAAAAAGTGCAAATATTCTTACATATTATGAATATTTATTTATTGGATATTTGCGAAGTTTAGACAATTACAACGGTTTCGTATGTGGATGCAAAATTAATACATTACGGAGTCTTCAGATGAACGTGTCGTGCAGTATAGCATTCATATGGCAGCAGTTTCCGTCCTAAAGCAATGAGGCAATATTAAGTTCTATCAGTTTCGCGTTTCCATCAAGGGCATGTACATTTGTTGAACTTGTAATGTTTGCTATGGGCACCTTCAACTAAATATTACACGCCATGTTGAACATTGTGATAATGATTTCGCCAAGTCAACCAGTGCAACATGGTGAGAAATAGAATGTGTAACACCCGGGATTTCATCATAATATGAATGACACGGGAATTTGTAGAAAATCATAATATGGGTTGTCTGTTTTCAATTATGGTGCAATTTCAATACTCGTATTTGTATAAGAAGGACTTGGAATGGTCACCTGTAATGATACTGGCGACTATCAGAGGCAGCATCAGCATCTTCAGCATACGAAGGAAAAGCTCTCCAGGGAACTGCACCATCTGAATAGCGTCAGATGACGGCTTAAGAGACCGGCATATGATCCCAGCAACAATTCCGAGTACAGCGGCGAGAATTGTAGCGATTAGGAGGATGTTGTGTCGGAGAAACTGACGAAACGTCATCTGTCGTCAGACATGAGAGTTGTAAGTCTATGTTGAAAAATATGCAGAAGTTTACTTATATATAGATTGTATTTCTGGAAGTATGCTTATTGCATTTGAATGAGTGAGTGAGTTTTAGTTTACGCCGCTTTTAGCAATATTCCAGCAATATCACGGCGGGGATGGGCTTCACACATTGTACCCATGTGGGGAATCGAACCCGGGTCTTCAGCTTTAACCACTAGGCTACCCCCACCGCCCTATTGCATTTGAGTGAGGTGAACGGTGCATGGTATAATACTGACTGAGTTTGGATTTACGCCGCTGTTAGCAATAGTCCAGCAACATCACGGCGGGTGACACCAGAAATGGGCTTCACACATTGTACCCATGTGGGGATTCGAACCCGGGTCTTCGAATTCGGCGTGACGAGCCAACGCTTTAACCACTAGGCTACCCCACCGCCCCTAATATAATACATTTGTATGTATGAAACCATAAGAGCATAATGTAATTCAGTGACACATGACAAGTGTATTTGCAGTTACAGTTACGAATATGAGAAACCCAATTTATTTTACCATTATCATCATGAATCCGTAACATATCACACCATCGGATATCAAGAACTTTCCACAAGAAGAGGTCTCCACCAATAACCTATGCAGCGACTATGCCAATAACCTATGCAGCGATTATATCAATAACCTTTGTAGTGACTATACCCAAAAACTATGCAGGGACTATACCAATAAACTATGCAGCGACTATATCAATAACCTATGCTGCGACTATACCAATAACCTATTCAGCGACTATACCAATAACCTATGCAGCGACTATACCAATAACGTATGTAACGTATATACCAATAACGTATGTAGCGACTATACCAATAACGTATGCAGCGACTATACCAATAACGTATGTAGCGACTATACCAATAACGTATGTAGCGACTATACCAATAACCATGCATTATACAATGTTCCATCCAAGTTCTAATTCTGACTTCAAAAAGAGATGTAAAAACCTTACCCTAAATATTCAAGAGAGACATGCCTCGGTAAGTATTGAGATCAGATGGCTTACCTTTCTTTAACAAAGTAATTATCGTACCAGTATTCCAACTCTCTGGGAAAACACCACAACACTGAATAAAATTCCAAAATGGTGATGCCTTTTTAATAAATTCAGGAATTACTCCATCTGCACCTGACGACTTACCACAATCGTTTAAAGATCACATATACTTTAGAGGGGTACAAATACATAAATCGTTTATTGGTATCGTTATAAATAAAAACCTCGTCATTAAAATTACTCATTTCGACATTTAATTAACTTAAATCGACCTTTTTGACAACAGTGTACAATTCTCCCCCGCGAACGAAATTTCAACCAATGACGTAATGTGAGGTATACATACGAGGGGCGCTTCAGAATTCCTGTACATTTCCGGGGTTAAATTATCTTGTTTACAGGTTTGTCTAAACCTGAAATCGTGACAATTGTGAAAAGTGAAAGCATTATGTTTTCACAGTCTACTGTCATGCAATCTTGTCACCTGCTTTGCCTAGCTTCAGAGTTACAACTAATTGTTTTCATAGACGATTCTGTCAAAATCGTTTGTTGTCGATCGGCCTTATTTGTTCAAGGCAGGCGCTAGTGATAGTGAAAACGATGATCAGCCTCGCTCATCACAGTTACAGGAAGAAGACCGACTTGTATCTACATGCTGATGAGTGGACGTTAACCACGTGAATGTAGCAATAAATTTATCGCGCATTCTACCATGGCTACGTGAAATGCTCGAATTTGATTGGTCAATCAATAAAATCAGACGGTATCAATTTGGATTGAAAATGCGTCTGATTTCACGGCGCTTCACTGCGCACGTATACAGCACTGCCGCACTACTTCGGCTTGGCCACCAACATGACTAATATCAACACAACAGACGTCATGGAAATGCTGATGAAACATTTATTAAAACTCTAAAAATACAATTATACGACTTCTCCTCCACAATTATCAGGGAACCTCACTATCATAATTATTACTTTCTATTATAAAAATATTCAAACTCAATTACAATACACAGACCCAAACATAAACAAACAATATCTAACATATGAATCAGAAAACCTTGTAAAAATACATCCCTACCTATCCCTATTTGTGCGGCAAAACGTTTGTAAACATTTACCTACTTGGTAAAAGGTATATATGTTTCCGTTAAGAATGGGAAATTCGCAAGATAACGGTCAGGCGAAACACAAAATTTGCCACTCATACTGCATCATGTCCCGTTGCATCGTTCAAAATGTCAAAAATTGAACCATGAGAATTCCGCTCTCTGCCACCTTCCCCGCAAGGCTGTCACTGCTATCTTCGTACACTTTGAAAAGCTTGGCCACAACCCAGTCCCAAATGATGAGAACAATGTTCCAAGGAATCCCAAGTTAGTCGCATGTACACAAAGCAGCACTGTCACTCTTTCGTCTCATGCCGGGGTGGAGGCACGTACGTGAAATCATGATCGACACTCGCCGGTCATAAAAATCAACAGTCTTTGATGAGTTACAGGTCATAAGTCGATCAAAAAATGATCTATTCTTCGATTCTGCAGGGTTCAGGTTCGACAGTCAGTCAAGTATTTTCCACCGTCACACCGAGTTT